CGTTTGATTAGAATTGAGTTTTATTAGAGTTGTTGTATTGAATCAATTAATTGGTTGTGACATAAGCTCTAATCAGTTTAACTTTCAATTTGTTTTCCGTTTTTTCCTTTTCTTAATAAATCATTTCAATGCTATCAATGAATATAAACTTATTTCCTATTCTTATATTTCTTTTACAGAATCTTAAGAATCAAATAATGACAACAAATTTATGGGTCGAACAAGTAATGCATTCAATATATTGATCCACAAAATTCAGATAAATCACAGATATATTCAAAAATTTTGCGATTCTAATGGAGTCAGTGATTGAGAGATAGATTGTTTCCCCAATTTAGTCAATACCAGAGGCTCTGTCTTTGGAGACAATCATCAGTTTTAACTTTGTTTCGCAATTTTCAATTTATTTGCTTTCAATTTAAACACCACTCTTTACACATACCATACAAACAGAGTAATGAATTGGGATTTGAGTTTGTGTTCAATAAAAGTAGACTAATATAAATGTGAAATTTTGGTTTCCAACATAACTTAGTGAAAGATTTTAGTAGTAGTAAAATTACCATATTATGTTATCAACATGCATTTATAAATTAAGAATGATCGTCATTCAATTCCCTGTTATTAAAATTTTACATTTGAAATACACAAAATAAGTTTAAGACAAAATCTTAAGTAAACAAAATGTTGACATATATTGAATGTATGGCTAGTATTGGAATGATTACAAACTAACGTGGGATCCACGAGAATATGGAGGCGTCGATACACTACACGTGCCCTCCGATCATATTTGGAGACCAGATATAGTGCTCTATAATAAGTAAATTTTAATTATTATTTGTATATTTTAATTCTTACAAATTAATATAATTTTCCAAAATATGAATTGATGTATATTTAGTGGTTAATTCACTGATTATATTAATTATGCGTAAACGATATGCAATTAATGTACATTTAATGATTAGCGCCGACGGAAATTTTGAGGTGACTTTAGCCACTAAAGCGGTGTTAGACTCCAAGGGTCGCATCCAATGGAAACCTCCGGCCATTTACAAGAGTTCGTGTGAAATTGATGTCGAATTCTTCCCATTTGACGAACAGACGTGTATTATGAAGTTTGGATCATGGACGTATGTGCCCTCTCTCTCTCTCTCTCTCTCTCTCTCTCTCTCTTCCATTCATTCAGTTTCTTTCTTTCATTCACTTATAGTTACGACGGCTTTAAGGTATTTCTCATTTCCGCACTTATTTTATATTAAATTTAATTATTTTAAAAAACGTTGCAAAGAATGGTTTGCTTTATATTTATAAATTGCTCACTAATAATGTAATCATTATGTCTGTGAATACAGTATAGAATTGTTGAATATTTCTATAGAATTTAATATATGATTGATTTTATTAACAAAAATAAGGTTGACTTAAGACATAAAGATGAAGTGATTGGTTCCCGCGCTGTTCAATACGGCATTGATTTATCAGAATTTTATTTAAGTGTTGAATGGGATGTATTGGAAGTGCCAGCCATGAAACATAAAAAGTAATGAAAAATCACAACATTTTATAAACATTTAATAAATTGTTTGATATTTAGATATTATACGTGTTGTGAAGAGCCATATATTGACATAACATTCAATATAAGTAAATGTCTTTCAAGTTTGTATATTATATATATTCAATAAATACTATTAATTCAAACACTAATAAAGGTATGCGAAGAAAGACGTTGTTTTATACCGTGAATCTCATCATCCCATGTATGGGAATATCATTTCTAACAGTTTTAGTCTTCTATTTGCCTTCAGATTCCGGAGAAAAGGTTAGCAAACATTGAAAAATTATTGACTTTTGTAGTGAACGATCGACTTTTGAAAAAGATATCAATGATTTGTTGCATTTTATAATTTTGTAAATCTGATTCCATAAAACAAAATCACCATTTTTATTTTCAAATAACTAATTAGTACTTTATATAACAATTGTTAGTTGGCATAATAAAATATTTTTTGTTTAAATTTGAATATAATGTTATTTTTCTTTATTATATTCTCCAGTGTTTAGTAATACAATGTTTTTAAAAAGAAAGTTTAATTTAATATTTTGATTAATTATTAAATAAAGAAATGCATATTTTTTATTCATATAAAAATATAGTTTTGAGGAAAAATAAATTATTAAAATTGGTTTTAAATTTTCAAGTATTTTTGCAGACAATTCTTTGTGTTTTGATTTGATTTGACGTTTTTTACAAATACACTATGCAATTGCAAACATATAGTATAGTCACAGTATTAGGTACATTGTATAATGTATTATAATGTGTTATAAAATTTAGTTTTAAAAATGCAATATATTAATTATAGTTAAAACAAAAAATAATTAATTACTTAAGATTGCATCTAACTTATGAAAATACAAACAATTTAAATACTGTAAATATTATTTTTGACTAAAACTAATGCTTTAATTACAAGATTATATCACTTTTATCAAGCTTAATATTAGGTTAGGTTAGATTGAAATGAATGTAAAGCTCAATTTTTATGTTTGATTCAATGGTTAAATTCAAAGCAATGGTTATGATTGAACCAAATGTTACACTTAAGCCTATTTTGGACTTTCAAAAGTTATATGTGAATAATTGATAACTATATGTAATTTTAATGAATTAATGTTTTAGGTGGCGCTCTCCGTATCCATTCTGCTATCATTGACTGTGTTTTTCTTACTTCTGGCAGAAATTATTCCGGTATTTGAAGTGAATGTATCCACAATTCTTGCTTCTAATGGAAAGACTACTTTTTCCTACTTTTTTAATGCATAAGTTTACTAAGACTTAACTGTATATCGCTTTTCACTTGAATTATGTTTTGTCTCAAGCCTTACCATGTTTTGCATTCAATCACTTAAACAGAATTTGAATAACAGATTTGAATTGAAGTAATTTGTTTAAATGAATATCAAATTCCCTTAAAATATACGCTCCAACACATCTCAAACTCATCTCTTTTGGGAACATTTTTTGCTAATTTGCAAACAAATCAATAGAATTTATTTTTAAATCCGATTGAAATTTGTTTAATACTATGAGATTAGTAAATAAGATGTGTTTTCCATTAGAAATGAGAACAACTGTGAAAAACTTATTTCATTATATAATAAAACGTTTGCATTTTAACAAAAGCCAACGAGTCTTGTGGTGCCATTACTGGGCAAATACCTATTATTCACAATGATCCTGGTCACTCTCTCCATTTGTGTCACTGTTGTTGTGCTTAATGTTCACTTTCGCTCCTCAGCCACACATAAAATGGTATTATAAGAAGACATAACAATATATTTATATATACAATATGTATAACAATCACAATCACATGTTAGGCCCCATGGGTTAAGAGAGTGTTCATTCATCTTCTGCCACGACTTCTGTTGATGAGAAGACCTCCTTATACTCCGGGAAGTGGTATCAGTCCTGATAGTGACGGCGCCGTCGATACGATTCATAGTAATTGCGATTCTTATCAAAGCAAACATAATCGGACGGTTGTCCGCACCTGTAATCGCACACAACTATCTGATTATAACAGTCAAACTGATTGTGGAACTGGTATAACACAACTTTGCTTATTCCCTAACCAGCAATGATTTATGACATGAATTTGTTTACATGTATTAAATATTTATGTAGAAAATTATCATTTCTCATGATATATGCATTCATTTCTTTATCATTATTTGCAAAGAAATGAAATAC